GGTTAATTCTGAGAGAGAAAATCTTAATAAACGTCAAATAGTCACCTCTTGCCAAAAATGCAAAGCACCCAAATGTCCATCCATGGATGAATGGATAAACAAAATGCAGTATATCTATTCAATGGAATATTATTTAGCAATAAAAAGGAATAAAGTACTGATACATACATGCCATAACATAGGTGAACCTTGAAACATGAGGCATGCAAGAAGTCATTCACTAAGGAACAAATATTAGGTGATTCCATTTATAGGAAATGTCCAAAAGCTGTAATACATTTTGATGGCCAGCTTCAGAAAGTATATAATGTTACTTCTACTGCTGAAGAAGCCACAAAGTCCTACCCATTTTCAATGAGAGGAGACATAGATTCCCCTTCTCGATGGGGGCACAGTGAGGTTCCAAAAGAGCATGTGGGACCAGAAATAATTATGATGGCTATTTTTCAAAAATACAGTTTGCCAAAGGTGTACTTGTCTGTCATATTAGGATATATTCAGCTGCAAGTAACTGACAACATCTAAATGGTGGCTTAAAGCACCATGACATTTGTTGTTTAGACGAGTTGGATGGACGCAGTGGCTGCAACAATGGGCTCAAGCATAGCAAGGATTATGAGGATGGTGCAGGACCAGGCAGGGTTTCCTTCTGTTGTATATAGGGTCGCTCTGAGTCTGAATCCATGGCACCTAAGAACAGGAAGCCCAGAGGTCAGCAGTTCAGGGTTGATTCAGTGGTTCTACAATGTTAATTTCATTTTGCCCCCACCCATCCTACTCACCAGGTTGGCTTTTCATACTTGTGTTTATTGCCTCACAGTTGCAAGATGGTTACTACACACCTCCAGGTACCATATCCTTAACCCAACACTGCCCAAAGCAGAAAGAGAAGAAATAAGGTTATTTTGTTTTGTACCTCTCTTTCATCACAGAGGAAAAACATTCCCATAAGCAGCCAGTAGACTTCCTCTATGTAAGAGGGTCACATGCCCACCCCTGGGTCAATCCCTGACAGAGAGAATGAGATTATTGTGATTGCTTTAGCGCAATCCTGGGAGAATCTCCAGCAAAATTCTTGCCTCTGGAAGCAAAGATGGAAGCTATCTAGCAGACGCCAACACTGTCAGGTAGGACTTGTGCTGACCTGAGGGATTTCAGATGAAACAGCCACCAACCCTCAGAAAGTTTTCAGTCTGATGGGGTGAAGAGTTTACAGAAGTAATTCTAATGTAAATTCCCAACTGCAGAGATCAGGTCTTTGTCAATAAAACTTTGTAAGGTGTGTGCCAGGTGCCAGACCTTATTTTGGGGAGACGAAGATGAAGACCTACTTCCTGCCTTTAAAGACCTCCCAGTCTTTGAGAAAAATGTATAAACTGACAGAGTGGTAAGTGCAAAATGAAGTGCTCTGGTGGCACAGTGGTTAAAGCACTCAGCTGCTACCCAAAAGGTCAGCTGTTGGAACCCATCAGTGAGTTTGTGGAGAAAAAGAAGAGGCTGTCTGCTGTCCTATAGATTTGCGGCTTTGGAAACCTTATGAGGCAGGTCTACTCTGTCCTTTAGGGTCTATGAGTCAGAATCGACTCCATGGCAGTGGTGGGTTTTTGGTATTTTGGGTGACAAATGAGAGATAAGCCCAGGGAGCAATAGCACAACAGTCAAAACAGGTGTAGCCTAGTAATCACCCCCACTGGGAAACTTTCCTAAGCTCTTCTCACCTGTCTGATGCCTCCCATAGAGGCCTGAGCTCACCCTGAGAAAGCACAGAGTATGTGTGTGAGGCTTTGCAGAAATGACATCACTCACTGCCATCAAGTGGATTCTGACTCATAGTGACCTACGCTGGCTTTCCAAGGCTGTAAATCTTTACAGAAACAGACTGCCTCATCTTTCTTCCACAGAGCAGCTGGTGGGTTCGAACCACTGACCGTTGTTTAGCAGCCAAATGCCTTAACTACTGCACCACCAGAGCTCCTTTCAGAGATGATGATGATGTTGTTATGTCCCATGGAGTCCTGACTCATAGCCTTAGGTTTCCAAGGCTGTATCACTACAGAAGTAGTTTGCCCAACCCTCCTTCTCAGGAGTTGCTGCTGGATTTGATGATAGGAGAGGGGAGGGGGGGGAAAAACTCACTGCCATAGAGTTGATTCTGACTCACAGTGACCCCTTCTTGGCTTTCCCAGGCCAGTAGTATCTCTACAGAAGTAGACTGCCCAGTTTTCGGTTAGTGGGTTTGAACCACCAGCCTTCTGGTTAGCAATCAAATGCCTCAGGCACTATACTACCATATTTATAGGTTGAGTCAAGATTGTTGTTGCTGTTAGGTGTCATCAAGTTGATTTCAACTCTAGCCACCCCATGTGACAGTGTAGATCTCCATAGTGTTTTCCAAGCTATAATCTTCACAGGAGGCACTCTGATGGCACAGTGGATAAAACACTCAGATGCTAACCAAAAGGTCGGAGGTTAGAACCAGCTCCTCCGCGGGAGAAGGACGAGGCCCTGTGCTTCTATAAACATCTACAACCCTGGGAACCCTATAGGGCAGTTCTACTCTGTCCTATAGGATTGCTATGAGTCAGAATGCGACTCCATCACAAAGGCAATGGGTTATCGTCCTCACTTGTTGCTGAGTTAAATGCCTGTCAGGCCTTAATAGCATGGGAGCAGAAACCTGGCTCCCTCTACTGCTTCATCTACTATTGGCACCCCAAGGCGCCCAGCAAGCCCCAGACACCTATTGTGCTTCTTGTTGTTATGCGCCATCAAGTCGGCCACACTCATAGCGACCCCTCCTTGGGATTCCCAGGCCGTCGTATCACTACGGAAGTAGATTGTCCAACCTTCTTTCCGAGGAGTGGCTGGTGGGTTTGATCCGCCGGCCTTCTGGTTAGCGGTGAAGCGCCTTAAGCACTATGGTACCAGACCTCCTTTGGGACCAAAAGTTCCGAACTGATCACGTGCAGAGGGCGGGGCGCTACGCCGAGGCCTGTCTGCTCAAGCCCCGCCTACGACCTACTCCGCGCCGCCTCCCCCCGGCGAGTTAAGTTGTAGGAGCTAAGTGTTCGCGGCGTTTCCACCTGGAGGCGGTTCTGACCTCTCGGGTGAAACCGAGGCGTCGCGCTCCGTCCTCCCCACTTGCCGGCCCTTCCCGGGATGGCCCCCAAGTCCTCGGACTCTGTGGAGGGGCTCCGCGCCGCCGGCAACCAGAGCTTCCGCAACGGCCAGTACACCGAGGCCTCAGCGCTTTACGGCCGCGCGCTGCGGCTGCTGCAGGCGCGAGGTACGACCCCAGCCCGGTGGATTTCAGCCCGGCCCTCGTTTCTCCCCAGGCTCGCTTCCTGCCCTGCCGTCACACCACCCTGACTCGCTCGCTGTCCCCCTCTCTTCCTAGGCCTTTCTTTCCCTGGAGCCGACAGTGCCTCCAGACTCAACCACTCATCCCGGACTGTAGCATCCTCCGCGAAACTTCCTTGGCTCTCTCCTTCCGCCTGCTTGCTTTCAACTACCCTATTGTCCGCACGTTATGTAGGTCTCTCACTCTGATCCTTGAGGTTATGGCTCAGCTTTCCTCCCCCCCAAATATTTTTCTTCAATTAAATTAATATTTATTGAATGCTTGCTATATGCTTGGTGTGTATCAAGACAAAGAAGTTCTTCATGTTCTATGACACACTATAGGTAAGGAGTCAAAATTTTAAATAATTTGCCTAGGGTTACACGATGAGGACATGTCAGAGTCAGGGTTCATTCCTAAGCCCAGCGTCCTAATCATTTTGTTAGACTTCTCTCCAGCTTCTCTCCAAATTCCGGTGTTTCTGTTTGAACTTCTGCAGTTGCAAGCCACTCCTTTCCCCGTTCTTTTTTTTTTCTTGAACAGTCCTCTGTAGGCCCACCTCCTCATACCCATCTCAGTTGATGAAGTCACTGAGGAAATCTGAGGGATTGATGTTTCTGCTTTTTTCTTTTCTCCCACCCCAGCTGTGGAGGCTGACCTCGCAAAGCTTGTGCTTTTGCATGGCTTCATTCTGGGTCTCTAGAAGAGCTGATAGGGGAGTTTGGTTCTGATCCTGCCACTGGTTTTCTAAGGAATTTACGGGCAAGCCCCTTGACTCCTCTAATTACTTAGAGGATAATTACTGGAAAGGGAGCAGGTAGTATCCTAAACCAAAGAACACTTCCCGGGAGTCTGCAAAATGGTGCTGTCTTCAAGTGCTAGGCGAGCACACACAGTCGAGGGCCTGAGTGGCTTGTGCAGGATCATAGGCTGGGTTTTAGGTTCTGATGCCCTTTCTACCGCCAGGTTGCTGCTTCTCTGGTGTTTTGAGATGGATTACCAGGTTTGGGAACTTGTACTTCCTTCTGTATTTTGGTGTCTCAAACAAAACACTTAGCAGGTAGATTCCCACTCCTGGCAACCCCATGTGTTCAGGGCCTGGCAAAATAAGGAAAAACAAGTTTTTATTTTATTAGATTTGTTCCTGTTGGGATTGAAGGAAAGTGATCATGTAGTAACATGGCAGCACAAGACTTAGTGAAAAAGGCAAGTTGCTGAAAGATACGCAACATGACACCACTTGGGAAATACTTGAAAAGCCATTAAATGGTAATGTGTCTTACCTGGGAATACATACATAATAAAGGTGTACAAACTGCATAAGAATGTTACACACCTAATTCTGGATTATGTTGGCCTCTGGAGACCAGGGGAGGGAGCAAATGGAAGAGAATGGGGCATTAGCCAGATCAAAAATAAAAAAGGATGGAAGCAAATACAGTCTAGTGGCAGATACTGGGACCTGTTATGCCATCAAAAGAGAGCCTGGGAAGATGCATGGAGAGACTGCCAGGAGAGGACTAAGATGTGAAGTGCTGGGCGGAAATACGGTAGTGCCCTGTGGGTTTGGATACTTCCATAACTGTGTTGGTTTCTGGGTTATGTCATCGTATGTATTAATAGTCAGTTGTTTGCTATTATTATTTATTTTTATTAGGGTTTGGTTGAAGATTTACAGAGTAAATTCACTTTTCATACAGCAGTTCACATATACTTTGTCTCATGTCATTGACCAAAATTTACAATGCAGCAGCTCCCCT